CCGGGGGCCTCGTCGGGAGCCGGGGAAGGAGGTGGTGAGGAGGAGCAGCGCGCACCGCAAGTACCTGCGCTGGGAGTCCCTTGGGAAGTGTGTCCCTGCCGCTCACCCTGCCCAGTCCTGCCTGCTCTTGCTTTGCCATGTACGTGAACCTTTCTGCTAGGAGGCGAACGGCTGCTCGTCAGCAGCACTTCTCCTGTGGGCTCTCACAGCTGAGGCGCCGTCAGCCTCCAGCCAGGCCCGCACCACTGGGTATCGGAGGCTGGCTCACAGGGCTCCTTCTCCTGTCATGCTGCTTCCCTTCTGCCTGGTGATACGAGCAAGAAACCACACTGATTGTCTCTCTGAGCCCTGAAAATTGTGATTTTGTGCTCTTGAGAAAGTAATTTAATGGAGTTAAAGTCACTGGTTTAGTACTATAGTTCTGCTCTGTAAAATCCATGTTATTCTGGTTTTCTCTCCATTGTTTGAAAAGTAGTGAGTTAAATGTCATCTTGTAGGCTAATTGCAGATAAAATTTGGGCAAACTTGGAACAGGATGTTTTAGAGGCCTCCCAGAGCAATCCTGCTGCTTTTTCGGCTTGGCTGCATATCTTACCACAAATTCACACAGGGCAGGTGCAGGAAGATCCTGTAGATCCGGACCCTCAGCATCCCGAGGCCTCGGATCCACAGTTAGCCTGTGGCATGTATGCAGCATGCTCTTCCCTGCAGAAGTACTGCCGGGATCTTGATAAAAGGGCATCAACATGGCCTGTGGGGTTCTTAGTTATCTCAGGAAATTGATTATCCCGATAGATTTTGATAAGCTTAAAAAAACCCCGAGTAAACAGGATCCCAGAGCTTAGGCTCATTTTCACACACCGTGGTCGATCCGGACACTGTAACAAGTGTTCCCACAAACCTTTGAAAGGCATTCGAGCTCTTGTTTTCAGAAACAGTCGTCTACTCTTTGGGAGCCGTTCCTCCCTGATGTTGTAGCCCAGTGTGTTGCATCGGTTCTTCCTACAGCTGAGACACATTCCTTTGTTGAACGTGTTGATGTCGTTGCACCAGTATGCTGTGCTTTGCTTGTCATTGTGAAGCAGAGAGTCGATGAACAAGTGAACTGACCTCTCGTGAGCACATTTCACAGTTTGAGCAATGCCTGAAAAAATGCAAACAACAAAATTTTGCATGCCTTTGTCCTTCTTTCCTCTTCCTTGTTCCCACGTTTCAACTGCAGAGGAGTACGGTAACCAGCTGTAAACAATATGTTATTGTTCCCCCCATACCCTTTTACTACCCTTTACATAATTATTTTAGCCTTCTCCCCAACTCCCACCCCTTTACATCATGGTTTTGCCTCAGAAATCATAGACTGGAGCAACTTTACTTTTAGGATCATTCACAGATAGTTTGGCTGAAGTCACATGATAATAAAATTTCCTTAAATTTCTGTAGGCTGACTGTTTAAAACTGTAAATATGAACCTTGATTTCATTGTCCTGGCTGTAACAGTCAATATGAAATACAATTTAAGGTTATATGCAGTCTTTCAGGTCATGCCACATTAGAGGCAGCAGTCCCACTCTGAATGGTTGAACAGTGTTTTCTGTTGGATGCTTACATACTAATGTCATCTTTTGTCCCTGTCGGAGTGACAAACTCTGATGGTGGATTGAATTTTGCTTTCAGGTACTACTGGGGGGAAATTACAAAGAACAATGTGTTAAAAACATCAAAAAATTATTAAATACATAGATCTGCTTTTATGAGAGGTAACTTTTTCTTCTGTGTCATCAAATTACAAAAGTTTCCTCCTGTGTAATTTGGATACATCATGATGGACTGTTTTTACACGTCTTCACTGATAAGCTTTCTAGCTGGTGCTTCATTTCACATTTGTCATGAATTATGTGCTATCAAGTAAAGTCTACTTTTAGATAGTGTGTTGATAGTTGCATCAGTACCTTATCTTTTTCAGCATGTTGCATCAGTTTCTCTATATGTTTATATTTAGGTACATTGGAAATAAGCTTCAGTATATAAAACCCAGCCTCAAACACTGACAGTGAAGTCCTAGAGAGAGCATCATCTGTGCAGCTGAAGGACATGGAGTTGGGAAAAGGTGAACTAAGGAGGTGAGTAGTACAGCCCTGTGTTTTATTTGATTTGAAATAATTAATTGCACACTAGATTAATCTGGCTTAATTAGAATAATTTTTCTCATTTCCTCTACTGCTAAAACAAATACCTTTGAAATTATTCAGAAGTGCTAGGCAGCAGGATGCTTGTGGCCTCATTTTCTGGAGTGCTAGGCAGCCAAATTCCTTACTGGAGTCAGTAAGAACAGTTTGAAAATACATGTAAAGATCAGATAACCGATTTCTAGAAAAAAAATTTCTTGCATATAATGGGATGCAATACTCGCATTAGATGCTGTTTAAGACCATAGAGATCTGTAAAGTTTCCCAGAGATACTGTCAGTGCAGCTGCAATGCTGCTTCCCGTTTTGTGCCGTTGGTTCTTACCAGTGATTCCGTACTCTGCAATGTGGTTATACACATGCATGATGTGACAGCCAGGCTGAAAGGTGCCTCCATTGGGGTAAAAGTCGAAATGAGCCACAGGCTGCTTGATGCCAACACTGAGACCCATGTGCTGTTTAGTGAATGTATGAATTGCGTCTACGAAGTTTGCATCATCTGGAGATAAACGGTCTGTTGGTGACATGCCTTCAAACAAGGGGCCAGCAGGGTCAAGGCCTGCAATAAATGCAAATAATCCAGTTAGGATGTAGTGCAGATGGGCTGTTCTTTTGTGAGTGAAGTCTGTGATAAATATTTAAAAACAGCAGTAAAGTAAAGACAACACTGGTACTTTACAAGGTCTTTCCCCATAGGAACAATGCCAGGAACACTTGTCCTGAAGAGGGTATGAGATTACACCAAAAGGTAAACACAGGCACTGTAATAAACAGTAACTACTACATGCACAAGGACACAGGCCCAGAGATGGATTTGTTTGTTACAGACAAACCATGCTGCTCCTGCTTTGTTACCTGAGGGATGTTTACTTAATTTTGTTTTCATGCTCTAGAGGTCATGTATTTCAGAGGCCCTTTTGAAGATACCAGTCCCACAACAAGGATGACTTTTAGCCCACATTTAGGACCTGAAACTTCATAAAGGTTCCCTTACTGCTTGAGAGACTCTAAGTCTGCTAGACAGATTTTTTTAATAATTGTTCAACTTAAAAGCCTTTGAGGCAAATTATTGCAGTATTTAGAAAAATAATATACCACTTAGGGAGTCTTGCTGACTTTTGGTGTGCACGATATTTTTGTATGGTGCTCTTTTTCGTTGGGAATTGATTTATCGAGAAGGACTGCCTGCGTAGTTTAAAGCTGCCTTCAGTTTTGAGAACAAGCTTCTCAATTTGAGGTTCTTCCATTGGTATTATGGACTCACATAGTTGCATAGATGTAACTAGACAAGACTAATAACACAGGCTACAGGTAGCTATGTCACCCTGAAGGCATGCATTTACTTTTATTTTTAATAGCTTTCACACTAGGAAATTTTTGAGCTTATTCTTACAAGTCTGAGTAATTTGTGCTGAAGAATGCATATAGGTGCTACACAAAATGTGTTTTGATGTGGTTTAATGTTTTCTACGTATTATTGAGGTTTGATGTACTAATATGCTTTGAACAAGCAGCACTGGTGAACTGAAGTCCTTCTGTGTACACACAGGTGTAATATGCCACATAGTGTAAAATCAGATTCTTGGCATGCAGGCACTGTCACAAGAGCTGATTGTATAAGGGACTGTGATAATGTGGCAATGAATCCAAGATTGGAATTGGAAGTTCAAACTAGTCATGTGTATTTGCCTCACTCCCAAATCGAAGTAAGATGCTTTCTCTGATAACTTAAACATAGCTGATGTGAGCCTCCTGAAAAATACACTTCTGATTTGGTTTTGTTTGTTTAAGCTGTCACTTGCATTAGGTGTGTATCAATAACCTTATAAATGTATTTCCATTAGTAGTACAGTTACAAAACATTACAGGAGGTGAAAAACACCACCGGTGAAAACAATCAAGTGCTAACTTTGTTTAATTTAAGCATCTATTAAGGATACAAAATATGGTGATGCTTCATTTTGAAAAGTGTTTCGTTACATTTTCTAAATCTTAATTTCTAAAACAATGGGATGAATCTTCTAAACTGTGGCAAATACTGCTATTCAACACTAAAGGTTGATATGACATTGATATGTCAAATATCTGTGTGACTTAAATTCATTGACTGTTACCTTTCTAAAAATTGCATGTCTGTTACCTGTAATTCTTCCAATCTTGTTCGTACCATGGATATAACTTCCAGCAAATCCGGAAACATGAGCTCCAAGGCTGTACCCAATTAGGTGAGCATTGCTTCTGGAAAATTGAATGGATTCCTGGAAGATAGTGGCAGCTTGATTTAGGTGCAGAAAATACAAAATGTAAACAGGGAAATACTTACTACAAGCGAGGAATACCATGAATTACAACACAAGAAATGTGTACGTTCATGATGGAGGTCAGATGAGGTGTGTGGATCATGCACTGAATCTTTTCACTGTCTGAATGTTATTCCTTGCCTCCTTTTCATGCAGGAGGAAAACGCCACAGGTTTGGGCACCGCTGCTTACGTGCCGTGCTCTGGAAAACCATCAACATAGATAGCAGGATTTCTGATGCTGTTTGTTGCAAGTGATGCAAATGTGCATTGTCTTTTGCCTGCAGCATTCCGATGACTATAAGATGGGTATCTGTCCTTTAACTTCAGTGTAAACCAATCTTTCATAGAAAGTGCCTTGCTTTTTTTGCCTGAGTCACTAGCACAAGCCAAAGTAGCAAAACATTGGTCAGACATGCTCAGTGATACAGCAGTGGCATTTCTTGAGTTGGTTTGTACAAAACTGGATATCGGATATGAAACAAATCTATTGAAGCAGAATTGGGTTCAGGCCTGTCTTCCTACCTAATCAATACTATCTTAATCTTAAGCATTTCACGTGAGCTACCAGGCTTAAAGATTTTCTGACTTGTACAGGATAGTGTGGCATTTTCTTCTTGCTGGAAAGGCAAATCTCTGTTTTAATTTCATTGTGGATATTGCGTGTCCCAGTGGAGTGACTTTAGAGTCTTGATACCTGTCTGTTGTGAAGATGAGCCAAAACTTGGCAACCTTCTTCTGAGAGAGGCAGCTCTTAGAAATCAAAAGATCTGAACAATTTTCTTGGCAGATTTTTTTGAGATGGATGCTGTTGAGATTGTTACCGATCATCCCCTACTACTAACTCTTGGACTAAGAGTGCCGAGATTTACTTTAATTTTATTCTTTATTAAAGAATGTTGCCCAGCACTGCAGTTTTTGTTACCACCACTGAGGATATTCCAAATTCTGTAAGCAGACAGAAGCATAACTCTCTGGTTAGGACAGTTGGAATGAAGGGGTTATTACCGTTAAACTCAGGAGGGGTGCTTCTCAACAAAAGTAGGGTGTACAGCTTGAACACACTCAGTTGAATGCTGTGAAATTTTGTGGTATATTTAAATCCTAGAACATATTGTGGTACAAGAGAAGCTACCTACAGTGCTGGAGCAAGGAATTGTTTATTCAAGCTTCGATTTGTTTGCTGACACTGGAGAAATCACAGACTCTCTTAATTGTTGACAACGTGGTGTGTCCTCCTGGGAACTGAACGAAGTCCACTATTTCATTCATTCAATAATTAAACAGCTTCAAAATGTGACTTTAGACTCAGCTTAAACTACATTTGACCAAGAGCTAAGGTTTCTTGTAATGTCACAACAGAAAAACAGTGACTCTGGCTCTTCTGCCTTCTCTTCTGTGCCTGTTGTCCCTAACTGGGCATGGTACCTGACAGCTTCTTCTAGCCCTGCCATTCCTTTTGAAAGCAGTTTAGCCGTTCAACAGTATTTGCTAAAATTCTTTTAGCTTTGCAGTGTATTCCCCTTTCACCTTAGTCCTCACCATATTCAAATTAATGTATTAAAAAAATCATTGTGAGGTGCAGAAGTATAATTTAATTTCAAATTAGGTAATTTAAATTAGTACTGGAGATAAACGAAATAAGAGCTGCTTAGCATGCCTGGTTGGTATGAGTGATTCTCATTCTACTGTTTGCTTTCTGCATTTTCTTAAATAGTGCTGGAGACCAGTGATCTCTTGCAGACTTGTCTGCAGCCTTTTCAATTTAGCCATGGCCACTGCTCCCTAGGTAGTAGTTTTGTTAAGCAGTCACTATGTTAACATGGCTCTGTACTCGCTGCTACCTCCATGTCATCTTCTTTGTGTGCTGTGTGCTCTGTCTGTCTTCTTGAAAGGTCCCCCTTTACATTCTGGATCTGTAAGCCATTATTTTACAATAATCTTTGAGGAGCTGAGGCAGAAATCAGACACAATGTCATTCTTCAATTCTGCATTAAAAGCAGAAGATAAAAGCACAGATAATGTACCTCATTTTACTGAACTAACCACTTCCAAATGATCATGTATGTATGCTTTCAAAGTGTGGGACTCTCAGCTGTCCGGACACATGCTGACTGAAAAGCTAAAATGGCATGAAGTTATTTCACCTCTAAAGATACATAAAAAATATTTTAATAAACAAGACCACTTGTTTTTTTTTTCTCTTGCGTGATGGAAGTTTTATAAAGTCATATGAAAGTTTTTGGAAGACATAAAGAAGCGTAAAGGATTGAAATGAACATCATTAACCAGCAGAGCATTCCAGAAAGATGGCAGAAGCATAAGAACATGTGAACAGGTCTTTTCCAGAGAAACATGGGCGGCTCTTACCTCCAGCCATTCCAGGAAATCCGCTATCTCCTGTCCTATGTAGCGTGTATTCTGTACAGCAATGGGGTAGTGCTGGTGAGCAGATACAAGCCAGTCTGCAACGATCACATTAATTTGTTTTTGCTGAGACTTCAGAGCTGCTGCCATTTTCCAAATCCAACCTTCTAATATTCCATCCACCTGTTTTGTTACAAAAAGAAACAAACAAAAAGCACCTCTTCTTACTGTAAAACAGTCTCTGCCAAATATTTCTTGTTAAAAGCTCAAGGAAACAAAACCCGTAATATAAAGAAGGAGGGTATAATGCTCATAACTAGATTTTGGGGGCTACAGCATGCTTCAGTGCTGAGACTCTTTGGATTTTGGTGGACAAAAAAAGAATATAAGTGTATAATAATTTGTCTTGTGATATGAACTGTTATCAGTGAAATGATGTCCCAAAATATTTACACTCATCCCGAGATCATTGGTATTACTGATTTACTG